GCTCGTTGAAGTGGCTGCTGGGCCAAGCCCTACCGCAGCTTGTGCCTGATGTATCAAAATGGGATCTGTTAGGTGCTGCGTAGCTGCATTAAGATGTCCCTCGTCACGTACAGCATCTCTGCCAATCACTTCGGCATGATTATCAGTGTTACTAGTCGAAGGTGCTAAAGGTCCCATACCTACCGCCGCTTGAGCCTTTTGCATTAGAGACGGATCAGTCAAGTGCTGCGTATCTGCTGTCAGATCACCCTCTCCCTGTACTGCTTCTGTGCCAATCTCGTTTGCTAAGGTGCGATTGCCATTGGGCGAGTCTTTAACTTCGATTGTGCGCGATACTTCGTCAGAATCTTTGGACACATATGGTTTAGTATCCAGAACGGCCGAGTTACTCTTAGTGTCCACAGGCGCGGCATTACATTCACCATCCTTTGCCAAACTCGCTGATTCACAATTGTATTGAATGGATACCATATCGGCCTCAGGCACAATATCCCTTGTACCCGAATCAAGTCTACCATCACCTCGAACTGCATCTCTACCAATTTCCTCCGCATTGCTGTCAGCGGGGGGTGCTCCCGTCACAGAACTCAAGTCAGGTAGGGCTGGTACCATGCTCATGGCACTCTGCACGATTGTGGGTTTGTCCGATTTTGCAAGGGGTCCATAACCAAGGGTGGCCTGAGCCTTCTGCACTATAGACGGGTCAGTCAAGTGCTGTGTGGCTGCGTTCGAGCATCCATCGCCTTCTCTGCCTATACTCTCCGCATGGGTGTCCGTATCGCTTGTTGAAGGGGCTAGAGGTCCTACACCCAGAGCGCCCTGAACTTTCTGAGTCAATGAAGGGTCGGTTAGATGTTGTGTCTCTGAGTTTGGGTTGCCATCGTCACGTACGGCATCTTTACCTATCGCCTCCGAATGATTGTATGTGTTACTTGTAGAGGGAGCAAGAGGACCCATCCCTACCGTCGCTTGTGCCTTTTGCATCACAGATGGATTGGTGAGATGTTGCGTACTGTCGTTGAGATTTCCCTCATGTACAGCGCCTCTACCGAGTGTCTCCGCGTGACTGTCAGTGTTGCTGCCTGTAGGTGCTAGAGGCCCTACGTTCACAGTGGCTTGTGCCTTTTGCAATAAAGTTGGGTCAGTTAAGTGTTGTGTGTCAGTGTTTAGATTTCCATTTCCGTGCACAGCGTCTCTGCCAATATCCTCGTTGGCTCTGGCTGTATCAACGTCACCATCCGATGTATGAGACACATCACGTGGCGAGTAGTACTCCTTACTCTCCTGTTCTAGAGTGGGGCCAGTCTGGCTCACCGTATCGGCAGTTGCCAAAGACACAGCCTCATCCGTAGAGTTGCCCACAGAATCCGGCTGTGTTGTACCAAATACCATATTCGAGATACCCTGCATTATACCATTGCCGCCAGCAGTTGTATCAAAGGCTTCGTCGGCAGAGAAGGGGTTGTTCGAAGAAGAGGTTTTATTACTTTCGCGTGGGGCACTGGAACCCGCGCTACTGAAGGTGACATCATATGAGTTCGCAATATTTGGGTTTTGCGCCGCCCGTGCACTGCGCTCAGTCGTATCTAATTGCACTGTCGAAGGCTTCATATGAGCGGTAGGAATAGATACCTGAGAACTCTCTAGGGTGGTCATCTTAATCTATTTTAGTTGTTCGTAATATTGTTAGTTTTTCTGATTTGAATTTTCGAATATGAACCTAACATTGCACAGTATCGTTCCTTTAAATATGTAGGAAATGGATCCATCATTGAATGGAAGTCGACGATCGTCAATTCTCAATTCTGCTGTTGTAAATAAAAACCACCGAGCCACTCACTCCAGACATTGGACAATCCAGTTGTAATCCACTCCGGATTATCTTCACAGTGTACATATTGTATTGCATAATGCATACGTGTATGTTTTTTTATAGAAAATAATAAGATTACAGAAGGTCCACACAACTAAATCAAATATGATTTCAAGATTTTATATTCAGCAGAAGGCTATTTTAGTAAATATTTACATACATACGTTCCGATTTTGGGGGGGGGTTTCTCTTTTTATTTTTATTTTTTAAAACACAAACAAATAGTAATAAAACACCTTCATCAGTCTTTTATTAGAAAAAAAATATCTGTGGCTTTTTAAATAACATTGAGATGAATGTAGTATTACATCTCCCATTGGTTCACTGTAATTGACCGCGCAGAACTTACTTGGTCGTATTGGAGAAGAAAACAGCAACCTTGGCTGTCTGGCTGATACTAAGAAGTACTCGTTTAAAATTCATTTGCTCATCACCGCCAATGGATGCTAAATATTTGAAATGGAAAGCTGTGACTCTTGCTCATAGGATAGCGTTTATCAGGACAAAAAACTGAAGATAAAAAGGCCACAAAAAGAAAGCATTTTTTAACTTTCTTTCTGTATGTTTGTAGTATTGTAGTTACATATCCTACATATATACATTTATAGTATTTGTTTTTTTTGTTTTAAAAATAAAACAAAACCAAAACCACAACGGGTATTTACATAGAACTGTAGCGTTGTGAAAAATGATGACTGAGATTTTCTATTTTGAAACCACAGTGCCACACCCGCCTCCACGGCACACCTCACAAGTGACCAGTCACAATTTGATCTCTATTTTATAATGAATTTGAGGTACTGTGTTATGTGTAGCCAGCTTGCCCTTTGCCATTGGAGAATATTTGTCGGAATGTTTACTCATAATTCATAATGTAGTAGAAAAAGACTCTTACATTTACATCCCTGATGACAGTATGACTACTTATGTACTGCATAAGATTCCTGTTTCTGATCCAAAAGGGAGGCGTACGACACGGTAGGTTTTCTCTAGGTCATAGCCATAGGCAAAAAAAATATTCTCAGATATCTGCGATGGCACCCGGCGTGTGGTGTCCTATATTGCCATCATCAATACAAGAGCATGACAATATAACCTCCAAATATAACAACCAATTTCATATATATTAAACTTTTCTAGAGCCGCATTACACCTACCCAGGCAAATAAACGGGCAGTCTATTATATCGACGAAACTGTCAAATGCGTAAACACAATATGAACCCATCACGTTGAAATGGATATACAAAGTAATCCATATCCAACTACAAATTGCCTCGATAGCTTACCGAGATTTCTATCAACTCTTGGCATTCCATAATTTTTTCGCCTCTTAGTGCGCGAAGTA